ATACTATCTAAAATTAAACAATAATTTGAAAATACAGATGAAGCCGATTTACCTAGCAATATGAACTTTTTAGTAAAAATGAAGCTTTATAAGAAGATAAAGCCTATTGATACTGAAAAAAATATGAATATATTGGGGAGTTAAGGGGGGTTAAAATATAAAAAAAAATCCTAACTGAAAAACTTGAAATTTTTAGCAAACATCATTCTCTAAAAGGAGAAGCCCTTTCATTATAAAAACAAATCTGATTAAATATGGGGGATTTAAGGGGGTTGAAATTAAATATAAATCAAAAATGAAAAGAGATATAAACATGAAATTTTTAGTGAAATCAAGGTCTATAAGGAGATGAGGACTAGTGATTGTGAAAACAATCTGCTTAAAAATGGGGGTTAAGAGGGTATGTTAAACTGCGAAGAGTATAATTTAAAATGCCAGGCATTATATATATTTATTCTAGTTTGTGTCTGTGTAATATTATGTACTGTGATTGGACTGATCTTATAAAATAAACATTTAAAACATTTTAGTTCTTATTTTATTTGCCAATAAAAGGTATTTAAAAAATATATTTTTTATTTGACATCTTTGACAAATTGTGAAAATGATTAAACTTACAATAAAAACTAAAAAATGGTAGATAAAGTTTCATATAAAATTTTTTACACAAAAATCAAGCTTTCTACATAACCTGATATATATTTAAAAATAATCTCAAATTATGAAGAAAAATCAGTTTACAAACTAATAATGTTTATAGATGGTTTTCAACGTATTAAAAACAAAAAAAAATATCAGACTAACTAAAATATTCATTTATTAATAGTTGTAGTGTTTGAAAACAGTATGATGTTGATAATAATAACAACACAAACTCAAATAATAAAAAAAAAACAGCAATATTGACTCTTTTACAAAGTTTTGATCCGAACTTACATATCGTCGGCTTAATATGAAAAGTGCATAAGTCCAAATTTTTAGATTTTGCGATTTTGGCTGAATCTGGTTCACCGCTGCTACAGCTACAGAAATATATTCTTAGTTTACGAAAATTGTCACTAGATTTTACTAAAAACACTATATAAAGCTTGTAATAATAACGTAAAAATAAGTACAAGTGACTCAAAGTTATATTAAATCGATTATACTTCAACAAATATTGATCTGTAAACCATGTTTAAATTTTGAATGGAGTTGTGCAATTTTCATAACAATGTAATTTTTATTTAACTATAAATTTTAAATAATCCGTAAATTCGTTTTTTGTTTCTCCTGTTAAATTGTTTATTTTGGACTTATCCAATTTTCATATTAAGCCGACGATATAATAAAATTATTGGAAAAAGTGAACACCCATTTTCAATTATCACGAGCCGCCACTGTCTGCTCGTATCTGGTGGTGCTTTGGCTGTTATAGTGATAAGCATAAAAAGTATAATGTCTTTATTAAATATCTCAGTTGAAATACTATTCGAACATTTTGTTAATTATTAGTGTTTAATAGTAAAGTTAAATATGTTTTTATGATTCATTCTGGTTGCTAGAACGGCACAATATGTATAGTCACTAGTTTTTATTATCTATTGGTTCATTTTTTTTTAAGTAGATGTTTCAAATTTATATATCGTACAGAGCCACGTGAAAAATAAAATCTATTTTTGTCTAGAAAACGAATGAAATCAGCCATAACTCAACCGCCATAACTCAACCGCAGTAATCCACACGCTGTAACCCTCAAGCTATAACCTACACGCAGTAATCTACACGTTGTAAATTGATTGAGCTGAGTTAACGGAAAAAGCGACAGTTACAACTCGAAGTTACTAGGAAGAAAGAGTAACCGACAAAGGCGTTGGTTCCAGAGGGGCAGAAATCTCAACTATCTACAAATGAAATGGCTAGCAAAAAAGCAAAAATGTGGTAATTACTAGTGACTAAAATTATTTATGATCGAATCAAAATTGATACCTGATAAACTGTAAATAATTTGTTTTCTGAACGGTTTCTTGTTTTCTGAATAAAGTCGTTAATTTTTATAAGTATATATGTTGAATCTTATTTTTTAAAGGTTACAAAAATTCTCTTTTATTCGCATTAAATTCTGTATAAGTTTTTATTAACTTCTTTTTATTAATAAAGCTAGAGTTTATAATTCTCACTAGCTTTTAAAAATAAAAAAAGAGAATTATTGGTGCCCAACATTACCTAGAAAAATTATTACCCTAAAATTGTCTATTTGAAAAGCCGAATTCACGACAGAAAAGTATGGTCAATGTGCTCATTTTTTTTTTTTTTTAATTTTTAAGGTAAGTAACATTTGCTATTAAAGAACCCCGCAATAATCTTATGGAAATTGGGTTTCTGTCAAACTGTCTGAATTTTTGATATGTTGTAGATTTTGTCATCTTGAACTGGGCACAAAGTGCCAAAATGAATATTTTGGCAGCTACGGAGCTGCCAAAGCTCCCCTGACCCGTTGCAAAACTATTCATTTTCAATACTATTTACAGATGTCAAAAGCATATTTTAATTATTCTTATATACAGGGTAATGTTTTTGAGGTCACTGGATTCAAACCTCATGTCAGATTGGACAAATTGATCGTTGACAGCTGTCAATTCACTGTCAACGAGGAATATAAAAGTAAATATCCTCTTTTCACATTGAGAGTTTGGGTTTTTGAAGTCGCTGAATTCAATTCTCATGTTAGATTGGACAAATTGACCGTTGACAGCTGTCAATTCACGGTCAACAAGGAATATAAAAGTAAATATCCTATTTTCACATTGAGAGTTTGGGTTTTTGAGGTCGCTAAATTCAATTCTCATGTCAGATTGGACAAATTTACAGTTGACAGCTGTCAATTCACTGTCAACGAAGAAAAGAGAATTAAATATTCTCTGTTGACATTGAGAGTTTGGGTTCTTGAGGTCGCTGAATTCAATTCTCATGTCAGATTGTACAAATTGACAGTTGACAGCTGTCAATTTACTATCAACGAAGAATAGAGAAGTAAATATTCTCTGTTGACATTGAGAGTTTGGGTTCTTGAGGTCGCTGAATTCAATTCTCATGTCAGATTGTACAAATTGACAGTTGACAGCTGTCAATTTACTATCAACGAAGAATAGAGAAGTAAATATTCTCTGTTGACATTGAGAGTTTGAGTTCTTGAGGTCGCTGAATTCAATTCTCATGCCAGATTTAAAAAAATTGACAGTTGACAGCTCTCAATTCACTGTCAAAGTAGAATAAAAAGGAAAATATTCTCTCTTATTGAGAGTTTGTCAACTACCATTTTCTCCAATTCTAAAAAGAATTGAATTTAGTGACTTGGCCAACATAAACTCTCAATGTGAAAAGAGGATATTTACTTTTATATATCTCGTTGACCGTGAATTGACAGCTGTCAACGGTCAATTTGTCCAATCTGACATGAGAATTGAATTCAGCGACCTCAAAAACCCAAAATCTCAATATGAAAAGAGGATATTTACTTTTATATTCCTCGTTGACAGTCAATTGACAGCTGTTAACTGTCAAATTGTCCAATCTGACATGAGAATTGAATTCAGCTACCTCAAAAACCCAACTCTCAATGTGAAAAAAAGATACTTTTATATTCTGCGTTGACAGTGAATTGACAGCTGACAACGGTCAATTTGTCCAATCTGACATGAAGGTTGAATCGAGTGACCTCAAAAACATTACCCTATATATTAGAATAATTAAAATATGCTTTTGACATCTGTAAATAGTATTGAAAATGAATAGTTTTTCAACGGGTCAGGGGAGATTTGTCAGTTCCGTAGCTGCCAAAATATTCATTTTGGCACTTTGTGCACATGGAGACTTTTGTTCTGGATGAGAAAATTTACAACATATCAAAAATTCAGACAATTTGACAGAAACCCAATTTCCATAAGATTATTGCGGGGTCCTTTCACTGAACTAGTAAAAATCTCTATAAGTGTTTTGAAATTACATTTATCAAAAAGGTAACGAATAATATTACAAACTGGTGGGCAAAGTGTCAGGGTATTATTGCACAATGCGCATGATTTTTCTGTCCGTTGTCAATTTATACCACGTTTTCTACATAATGCCGTTTTTACTGTTTGAATCGGACCAATAGCAGTGCCGATACATGCTAAGGCCATTCTGTCTTTTAGTTCTGCGCATGTTTTTTCTGTTCGACGTTAATCTATACCACGTTCTCTACATAATGCCGTTATTCTCATTTAAATCCAACCAATAATAACAAAGATAGGCCCTTTTGGCTTTACCACTACGCGTGATTTTTTTGTTCGACGTTAAAAGAAATGTAATTCCCCACTCCCCCCACTACCCCGTTTTCCCCTCAGACCGTCTGTCTCACTTTATCCATTGAATATGTACCTCTCGCTCTTACACATTGAATTGCCTATGTGTCACCGTACGAACATAGTCTATCTACTGATATACGTTAAGGCCCTTTTGGCGTTGCACTGCGCATGTTTTTTTCCTTGTGAATGACAACTATATGACGTCACACGTAGAATGCCGTTTTCTCCCTTTTGATTCGATTCAATAATAACAGAGCTATACGTTATTGCCCATTTGTCTTTGCTGCTGCGCAGGTTTTTTTCTCTGTTAATGACAACTAAATGGCGTCACATGTAGAACGCCGTTTTCCCCATTCGATTCGGTCCAATAATAACAGAGATATACATCTTCGAGTCTTCAGAGGGTAGCCACCCACCGATCTTCCGTCTTCTTCATCTCCGCAACGTAACTTCTTCTGCCCTCCGACTTCTTTGAGTCTCCAGAGGGTAGCTTCAATGTCAATGAAGACGAGAATTCGATGGCCATGTTACCAAAGTGAGCTGGCGACCCCACATTATAACTACTTTGCCTAATATAAAATATCATATTTCCTAATATAATCTATTGCTAATTTAATATATTGCTAATCTATTGTCAACGATATTAGCAGAAATCGATATTTAAAAATTACTTACGAAATATGGCATCACGATCCTTATCATTCTTAGGTACACTTCGGTTTGTAGAATTTTGTTCCGTTTGTATTGATCCGACCTGGATGGATAGTTTAAGTCATGAAAGTCGCCCAAGCAAATCAGCTGCATCTTATTGACAGGATTAAGGCACAGCCTGCAATATGATTTCATATCGTTGAACGCTAATGTTGAGGTTTTCGGATATGTCGGTAAAGGCGGTTCTCTATAAGTAAATAAAAACAATATAAAGTAAATAATGGCGATTTTATCAATAAAAAAAATCTAAGGTACGTACGCACAGATCTGATTAAATCTTATGAAATATAGAAATAGAAATATTTTATTTTCAGTAATACATATATAAACATGTTTACATAGTCGTCAGTACATATAGATGATCAAATAAACCACATTTTACATACATTAACATACAGCATACTCGTATAAAATTTAAAATAAAATAGGATTTTATAAGATCATGGTTGGTAATAGTAATAAAAAATATATAAATAAATACAATATTAAAAATATTAGGAGACATGTTTCACTCTTACAAAATAATCATTATTGTTGTAACCTACTGCACCCAGGTACCATAATCATTTATTAATTCCATTTTATTAAAAAAAAATTGCATTCTTATTTTTTTTTTTGGTGTCATCGGCTTCAACTGCTAAGGTTATTTCGCCTCGTGTTCTGTAAATTCAAAATCCTTTATTTAACAAAAATCTCCCAGATAATTAAATCTTATTTACGACACCTAATAAATAATATCTATAGCCCAATTTCTTACAAGTGTCTTGGAACGCAATCTAAAACCATCATACAACATAAGTTGCCACGAAGTAATAATCATTAAAACTCTTAACGCACTTATCTTAAGTCAGTTTTGAATAGCGACGTTGTTTTCGATACACAAACTTTTCAAGGCATGTAATAAATCAGCCACCCCATCCGCCCAAATTCGTTCACTGACGTCACCAAAAAACTAAATAAATCGAGTATATAGATCCGATTAAAAGGGACTCGAAAGGCATTAAGAAATCAGACTCAGTTCAGTTGATTTCGAGCTCCAATCGTATATTCTTCGAATCTAATATAATTCGAGTTCAGTACCTTTCCTAAACCCACGCAGTTCATATCCTACCTTTATCCGACGCTCTTTAGCCCGACCAACTACCTTCCAAACGTTCCCACGTCTCGACGCTCGACGTCACTACGTCATCTCTTTTATCCGACGTCCCCATCCGACGCCCAATATCTCATCCTTACTTATCTACCTTCCTGCGTTTGGCGTTCTGCGTCACGACGCTCCCTCTCCGCCACGCCGCACAGTGGCGCGCCACCCAAATTACTCTACGACTCACAGGATTGATCCGTTTTAGACGTGCGTCACCTTAAAATGTTCGTCTTGAGTTTACCCTTGTTCCGGGATTTTTGATTTCGAATTTTATTTTTCTGTAATTTGTGTCCAAAAATTTACTTTCATGGAAAAATGGCGATTTTGGGTGCAAAAGTCATCCTAGCGAACGCAACATTGAGTTTTTACAAAACTTTTTTGAAGGAAACTCTTCCTCTTGACAACCCCTACAACCCTGTGTACGTCAAATTGCGAGAGAAATTGGCCGTCATGCCTAAAAACGACCATAGTGAACCAAAACTGTTGATGCGAAAGGAAATTGTTCCTCAAAAATCTATTGGAACAAAAATCTAAATTTGTTTCAATTTCTGTTTCTGTTCCATGACTGTCTTTGAAAAGTTAAAGATTTTTCAGAAAAAAATTGATTAATGATTTATTGATAATGAACTATAATGTCGGAAATGACGACCTTTATGAGAAACTTGTATTGAACAAAAAGTGTTCAGTATCACCTAAGGAATATGTCCGAATTTTTACAGAATTTTTGGAAATTTTCCGAGATTCTGGAATTTACGATTTCCTGGCCAAATTAAATGGCCAAAAATATCCTCAAACATTCTGAGAAAATTTGTACGTATTGCTGGATTGATTACAAACACTTTCTATTGAAACAAATTTAGATTTTTGTTCCAATAGATTTCTGAGGAACAATTTCCTTTCGCATCAATAGTTTTGGATCACTATGGTCGTTTTTAGGCATGACGGCCAATTTCTCTCGCAATTTGACGTACACAGAGTTGTAGGGGTTGTCAAGAGGAAGAGTTTCCTTCAAAAAAGTTTTGTAAAAACTCAATGTTGCGTTCGCTAGGATAACTTTTGCACCCAAAATCGCCATTTTTCCATGAAAGTAAATTTTTGGACACAAATTAAGGTGACGCACGTCTAAAACGGATCAATCCTGTGAGTCGTAGAGTAATTTGGGTGGCACAGTGGCACTCCGCGCCACTGTGCGCCGTTCTAAATTTCGACGCCAACGTCTCAACGTCCCTGCTAATTATCCCGAATACAAAAATATACAATGTCTAAAATAGAAACAGACGATAATATAAACCCAACGGTCTGCTTATCCGATGGTGAGTTAATAACAATCAAATTAAATTTGTAAAAATGGGAATTTATTATTGAATAATAATGAGTATTATTGTGCAACTCATTATTATTAAATAATTGTAAATCTTTACATTTGAGGAATTTGTTGCTCGCCGACATCGCATTTAGCTCGTCCAGATGTGTATGCTATGGGCCATATTGCCTTCAAATTAATATATCATCGTAAAAAATAATAAGAGTTTGGTTACCGAACTGTCAATGAACCCTCGCAAATAACAGCTCAGCTGATTGGGATAAATGACACATCGGACGACTAGACTCTTATTTATTCGAATATGCTTGATGTTACTACAGGGTTGGACTATCTTAGATAATTCTTAGATAGTTCGCTAGTATTGATCTGGCTCTATTCTAGTAGGACTACATCTACATAAACCCCCCCCTAGGTGAGGCTGAAACATAAGGGATATCCGCCTGTTATTGCAACGACGGAATCTCAGTAAGCGCACCTATACAGGGTGTTTCCAAACTTGGCGTCCAAATTTGTAGGGGCGGTAGTTCGCATAATTTGAGAGCGATTGGCAGATTTTATTTTTCTAAAAAAATTATAACAAACAAAATGAAGCCATTATAAAAAATATCAAAAAGCGGGTCCTATCCTGAGCGCGTAGCGCAATAGTTGCCTGATCGGTTACTCATCGGGATTTACAACTCAAAAACAGATGCGATTTGTAAATTTCTCCCTCCGCCCGGCCGGTATCGAAAGACGTAGCCGATTGTTTTTCTAGTGCGTATTGCTCGAGTCCATCCCATCGCTGTGCAGGACCGTACCTGTTTAAAATTTTTAATTAATTTTTAATTATTTTTATTTTAAATATTTTGGAAAAATGAAATCTGCCAATCGCTCTCAAATTATGCGAACTACCACCCCTACAAATTTGGACGCCAAGTTCTGAAACACCCTGTATAAGAAAGAAAACAACGAAACAAAGAATTATTAAAGATAGTGCAATGCTGAGGACGTCTGCTGTCTATTCTCAAGAATTATTTTATTACAAATATTTGATGGCAAGTGGCCTGTGGTCTGTTGTTTGGGCGAGACAAATGTGAGGTCTACCTTATATTAAAAGTAATCTGTACATACTGAGTTTATTGGAGATCAAAAAATAAATTAAGTTAAATATATTTTAAGCATTATTTCATTCACAAATTTGTACCAAACTTTGCATCGAATCCTGGTTTATTTTAATTAACACTATCACAACGTGGGTATATAAATTATTAATTAATGGACGATTTTAGTAAGTCGGATTTTTAATATACCGACACTTAATCTTAATCATATTGATTCAGTTGCAAAACAAAACTCATCGCAAGTATACTTTCTTTTTTAATAAATATATATTTTTTAAAAATACGTGACGTATTTACTGATCTGGGGATTTTGTTCGATGATTTAAATTATGTTGGTACAATTCGCTATCATTAGCTCGCTAAAAAGAAATGTATACGAGACCAACCGTTTGTCTACACGTGCTTGTAGCCTGTTTGTAGCGTCGCTTGTGATTTGATTTATATTTTGTTGTGAATTTTAATTCTTTAAGTTTATTTTTGTGAAAAATGGAACAAGGTTTTGTGAAAGCAGATTCAAATAATCTTCCCCGAGTGGATTATTTTATGATACACGAATATTATATTATATAAGTGCCAAGTACCGAAATGTAAAAAGTCTGATGTTAGTTATTTTGAAGAAACTACCAATTATAAGTATATATTTAAAATCATTAATATATTGTAGGGCTGCTAGATCTTGCTATGGTTATGAAGCTATTGGCTATGGCTAAAGAGAGAAGATGATGTTGTTGTCGTGAAGGGGCGTATTACTCCTGAACACAGAGTCGTTATGTTAAAACTGTATGAAGTTTATGTCAAAATAGACACAAAAATCGAAAAAAATGTAAAATCTATATGTGAGAACTGCACAGTTTTCTCTTGGTAATTGTCATAGTATTAGATTAGATTAGAATATCCAAATCTGTTGATTGAACACAATTTTTGAGATTAATGTTTCTGCATTTCTAATGTCCGGCTTTCAAGCAATTATTAAAAACTTTTATTTTAATGAATATCACAATTAACCTAAATTGTAACTCAACAATTCGATTTTAAACGACACATCGGATGTAGACACTCCATACTGATTATGCCTGTGACGTCAAGATCACGTGGGCCAGCTTCTGGTATGACGACATCAAGCTCGCGAAATTTAAATAAGAGGGTGGTTTTACAGTTAAGGGTTAATGTTAAAAAATAATAAGGTAGGATAAGCGGTAAATCAAGACCTTATACACTCAAATATCAATTAAAAAAAAGTGCTAAAATTGTCCATTAACTAGACGATAACTACACTACTAGAGGAAAAGGCCATATACAGTAAGTATGAATTTCTTTGAATTTCACAAGGGGAGGGAGGTAGTTAAATTAAAATACGGACTTTAATAATTAGCTACAAGACCGGGGGGTGGGCGGTTACATTGTTATATAGACACATGTCCAGTAATCTTTTTGATATTTAAACTTTTTTCCTGGTAGATTACGGATGTGGGGCGGAAGTGCATTATAGAATGAAATGCCTATTGTTCGGGACTTGTTTATTCTAGTTCTCGTTTGGATTAGCTGATTTTTCCCTCTGGTATCGTATGTATGATTGTCTGAGTGACATGTGAAGTTTCCCAAATTATTTTTTATGGCTA